TGCTAGTACATTAAGTTCTGCTAGTCACATCTGGCAAGAGACTTACTAAAGTGGTATTAAAATAGTTCCTTATTCCTGCTAATGTCTTTGAACCTTTTCACTGATCCCTTAACTGTACTTTCACTCAGTTCTGCATCCAGATAAGACAATAATTACTATTTCACTACAAACTAAACACACTCCCTTGTCTCATGAAACTCTCATTTGCTTTCCACACCCAGAAGGGTGCTCATACTTTGGGGGAAGGTCTGACCATCTGCCTGTCAGCTAGGCTACCACTACATTACATTATATATTTATGGTTCCCTTCACAAAGGGAGGTTCATTACAACAGGTGAAAGCCACTGAAATTTGCTTGGATCTCGTAGCACTGAGAATTATTCATGTCATATATGGGTGGTTCTGTCAATTGCTCAGATATATTTTTCCTTTAACTGCTCCAGAATTGCATATTTCTCAGATTTCCAAATAGTAAGAAGGATTGGAAAAATATTTTAACCAACCTCTAGTCAAGACTCTATAATTAGAAGAATAGAGTCTTTCTCTTCTAATTTCTTTGCTTTAAAAAGCACTACGTTTACGCATTAGGAAAGGGAAGAAAAACAGAAGCCAAGACTAAGTTTTAAGATTCAGTGAAAAGAATAAATATATTATGCACAAACTAAAAACTCTTCTAGTAACTCAGATATCAAAAAGATACTTAGAGATGCACCATAAAATCCAGTAGCCATAAGCAATAAATGCAAGTTCAACACTTGTTCTTAGATTACATATACTGAAGGCTGCAGAAATATCTAAGGTTCATGAAGAAAAAAAAAAAAAGTACCTCAAACACCTGTTGTAATGTGGTTTTGCCACAAAACCCTGCACAGTATTCAATGGTTGCATCTCTTTCATTGTCATGAAATGAGTTGAAGTCTCTATATAAACAACAACTTTTTTTCCCCCTAGAAAGTATCTGGTTGTTGAGAAGAATTTACAGAAAACAATTCAAATGCAGATTACCATGGACCCCCACAACAAGGTTTCTTCTTTTTCTTGATCTAGTGGTTTACAATTGCACACTAATTTTTATCTCTGCAGATTAATTAAATGGAGAATTTTAAACTATTTCTCATCTAAAATAGTTCTGTCTGTAACAAAAAATATAAGACTTGACAGAGAAAGGGATACCTTACTATGTTACACTCTGCAGGGAAAATAAGGAAGCTCTAGAATTCATTTTGATGTGAAAATCTGTGCACGGGGAAACAAATTAAAATATCCCCCCCCTCTAAACCAAGAAGAATTTTGTGATGAATTAGGAATAATTAAAAGGACTCTCCATTAGACTGAAACCAGCAAACTTCATGCATTTTGAAAATGTTCTCATACATGGAGGCTGTATGGTCAGACTAAATGATCTGAAATTAACTACATAGGGCTCTAGCTCAAGCCGAACAGACACAGAGGATGAGCTCGGGAAGTCTGTTAACACATTGCATTTAATCACCTATAAACTAAACAATGCTGTACATTTGAGTCAGATGTGAAGTTTATGGAACACAGAGATATGGAGAGAAGGGATCACTCAGAAATCACAGTTAAATTAAAACACGATACACACAGCCATAGGGTGATAATTCAAGTACTACATCACGGTGAATACTGCAAAATGATGATTAGCCATTCTAGATTTAAATACCATAAGTAAACGAGTGGTGTTGGAAAAAGCTGTAAACTTGTTTGTTTACGTCATCAAAGCTGATAAGAATAGAAAAATAATGGTGAATAATATTTTTAATATTTGGATAAAAGCAATAATATTTGGATTAAAAGCAAGCAGATGAGCACACTCCACATTGTTACAAGCCTTTATTAGTACTTGTCCCACATGGTAGAAACAACAGGAACCTTCAAGATTCAAGCAGCCAGTGGTTTTCCTCATACGTCCTGAGAGCTGTCCCTCATGTGTGTTTGTGTGGTACAACTCAATCATTTAAAATCCAAATGCTCTTCTGAACTTGCCTACTCATCAGCTACTCAAATGCCTGTTACATTTTCAGCATACCCCTGAGAGCATTTAGGATAACATTCTGTTTAGGACAAGGCCTTGAGTACTATGGAACTGGTTAACATATACTAAAATTCACTTAGTCATTCAGAAGATTTAGGCATAGATTTAAGCATCCTTGGTAAAAACAAGTGATAGCCAACAGCCTCTGAAAACCTGACAGCCAGTGTCAATTGTGTCTTAGAGATGGTGACACAAGTGGCATCCAATTCAGACTCCTCTGAAGCCTATGCAACAATGGCACTGCTTAAAGAAGGAATTCAGACCTTCCAATAGATCTCAGCTTGTATGAACAACTGCATGTAAGATGAAAGGGCTTATCAATTTAGAGATGCAAAAAGCAAAAAAGCTTCCAATTTCTCATGGTAAGTTTCAGGAATGGTAATGCAAAATTGCATTAAATTAGTTACGTGATGTCAGATTAATCTTTAGATGATCACAGGGGCAGGTTAAAATAGTATATGAATTTTTGCTGATGAAGGTAATAAGAAAGTCCCAAATTTGATTCATTTCAGAGGTGAAAATGATCCAGCTTCATTACAATAAGGAGCATACACATCCATAATTATGAAAAGACATCACATAAAGAAAGTGGAATAGATATTTAAGGGTTGTCACCTTTGCATCTTCATCTTCAAAGAATCACAGAGTGGCTGAGGTGGGAAGAGACCTCTTGAGATCATCTAGTCCAACCCCCTGCTCAAGCAGGGCTGCCTAGAACCAGGGACTGCGTCCAGTTGTATTTTTATTATCTTCAGAAATAGATAAACCATACCTGGATAGGTTACCTATTTCAGTGTTTGAACACACCCACTATACAAAAAAAGTGTTTTCTTGTGTTTGGATAGCATTTCACAGGTTTTAATTGTTCCCCTTGCCTCTTGTCCTGCCACTTGCCATTGGTGAGAAGAGTGGCTTTCCCTTCTTCATTCCCTCCCATCAGCTATTTCTACACATTGTTAAGATCTCCCTGAGCCTTCTCTTCTCCAGACTGAACAATCCCAGCTTTCTCAACCTTTCCTCACATGGAAGATGCTCCAGTCCTTTAATTCTATTTTGCTGGACTCAGCAAAGTAGAGAAGATTTTTAATGCAACAACAGTAAATATCAGGGCAAGACATGCTCTAAGAAGTCAACTGAATGATGAATTGAAACCGCAGAATGTTTTATTTTAACAAGACATCTCAACACAGAGTGATCATACAGTAACTCCAAAAGTAAATTCTCTCATTGCACTAATCTATACTCACTCATACCTAGAATCATCTTGATCCATGGCAGAAACTAAATATAATTAATTTGTTCCCATAAAAAGTCTTCTGCAAAAATCTACGTTAAAGTGATACTAATATGTTTTCAAAGCCATCATGCCCAAATTATTTAATACTAATATCCCATATATAGCTACGCTACTAGTCTTCACAGAGCTTAGGCAACAAGAACTATATATACACGCATAGCTTATTATGAAAACTGAAGACCAACACAAATATAGGACTGAGTGTAATTCAGTAATTGTACCTGCTTTTGATACCAAAAAACACCTTTGCCATGAAAATATACATTTGCCCTCCAATCATATTTCTCAGAAATCACCATGGAGATGAGCAATGGAAGTTAACGTGATCGCCATCCCTACAAATCATATTCCAAATGGAGTGAAAAAGGATATTAGATATCCCTTCCCCTAAAAGATCAGGCTGAATTTTTGTGTACAGTTTCCTTGTGAAAGATCCAGACTCAACTACAGCACATCAGGAGTCATTTTGGATCAATTTAAAATAGTGGTTCTAAAAAAAACACCACCACGTGCTATGATCATTGATGGAACTGAATTGAAAATCTGCAGCAAAGCAAATTTAATTG